CAGTTTATTCAGAGCATTAGCTGAGGAGATTGTGGGGGGGGTCAGCTCATAATTTTCAAGTGCGTCATGCAGAGAGAACGAGCCGAGATAAATGCTTGGAGAGCAGCCACTCGTTTGGAAAACCAGTTGCCCGTAGTTATTTTTCTTAATTAAGGCAAAGATGCAGTCCAAGAATGCCCAGCTCGTTTCCATCCACAGAACATTTCCAGCACTGAATTGCCCACCTTTCTCTTGACACAGCTCAGAAGACACCAACTCAAATCGAGTGCTGTGGCTCCTCTGGGATTCTGAGCAACTCCAACCAGCACCTTGGTATGTCCAAACCTTCCCAAATTGTTTACCTGGGGGCCTCTTTCATAACCTGGGCTGATGACATGGCCTGTGACTGTCTCCAAGCCACATTGGTCCCAAAGAAGCTGCTCCCAACAAGGAGTCCTGTCCCAGGAGTCTCGGGGTTGCTCCCAAGGAGGAGACAGAAGGTCCTTCCAAAAGCCAGTGTTATTAATTAGCACATTCTACCCTTAATAAAAGCTCAGAGCCCATCTGTTTGCGGCTCCCAGGGTGTCTGGAGATGCAGCAAAACCTAAGGGGAAAGTCTGATTTCAAAATGTTCCAAAAATCAGAGCTTTTCAACACATACCTGAGAGAGAAATAACTATTCAATAGCTCTTATATTAGAAGTATGATCTTATGCTAGTTATGGCTGTAAAATTCTCCTGTAGATTTATATGGATATATTTACATATTTATAAATGAACATAACAAATTAGTATACTGAATTTATTAATATATATGAATATTTACAGATATCAATATAGAAAACAAATATATATAATATACTGGGCATATAAATATATATATATTGCTTTGATATATTAATGTTAATTTATATACAGCACAGTTTTAGTTCCATGTACTCTGTAACACTTATTTCAACCTATAAAAAGTTTCACTTCTATAAAGCAGCTCCATGTTGATACCTGTGGCCTTCAGCAGCTTTATTACCACTTTATTACAGCTGACTAAGCCAACGTGCTCCTTTCCTAGCAGAGATTTTTTTTTTTGAATATTATTTGCCAGACATCACCTGATTGCTCACTGCTCTGCCTCCTTTATTCAGCCCTTATCACAGGAACCTCAAGCAAACATTACTAAGAGGGATTAAAGGGGCAGAAAAGGTTCTGCTCAGTGTTTGCACTGGGGATATGATTCACGAATGTGGATAAATTGGGAATTGCCATGACCTGAAGCACGGCCCTGCGTTCCTTTTTCACCCTCAACCCCTCCAAAACCCCCCATTCCTCGAGCCACCACTGCTTTTAATTCACTTTAATTCATTCAGTTGTAACCAGCTGAAATCAGGGCCACCCAAACCGCTCTGCAACCCAAGCACCGCTCCAATTTCCGTCTCTCCCCGTCGATGGATGCGATTTCCTCTCGCCCAGCGCTCCCTTCGAGCCACCCCGACTCGAGGCCATCCATCCATATCCCGGCTCGTGGGGCGCCCACCAACCGGCAGCAACTTCCACCTGCTGCAACACTCCGTGACTTGGGTGTTGTGCAACACCCTCAGCAAACACTTCCTCATCTGGGGCCGGGAATAAAGCTCAGCCCGTGTCGCTCCCTCTCATTCACAGCCCAGCCCGGGAACGCGACATTCCCGCAGCACCGACCGACCCCTCCCCGGAGCAGCATGAAAATCCTCCTCCTTTCTGCGCTTTTCCTGCATTTTCTCCACCAAGGTACAGCGTTTTTTTTGGTTTGGTTTTGTTTTGTTTGAATCCTTTCCCTGGGCAGAACTCTGTATGAATTTTTAATTATTAACAGGGAGATA